TAGTCAAACAAAAAAGTACCATCAGCAGAATTGACCGTGATGGCGAACGCTACGAAAAATGAGCACGTTGCGCAGACTGAGACTGAGGTGCGACGCTTCGGATGTGTGCTCTGCGGCGCGAACGAGCGATGCCTGAGCTCGCTGCTGCGAGGATGCCGGGCGAGCTCCGTCTGAGCTGTTCAGTGGATCGGACTCGTCGCCGGCAGATTCAATCCTGCGCTTGCGCTGCAGACGGAGCTGCTCGCGCTCTTCGTGGTTGGTCCAGTACGTGGCTGCGACCGTCGTGACCATCGCAATGAGACACATGACAAAGAAGCTCGGATCGATGGTTGGCATGGACGGCGTGCGCACTTGGACGCGCAGATTGGCAGACCCGGCTTGCACGGCGGCGACCAGCGTGCGACCGTCGCTCGACGCCAGCATGCCAACTGGGATGTGCACTTCAGCATAGACGGACGCGTTTCCGCCCGGGACGAATGCGCTGTCGTCCGTGTTGATGACGACGACCAGCAGACCGCCCGCCTCCTGGATCTGCTTTGCCTTGTCGCCGAACGTGCAGTTGCCGCGGTCGACCAGCACGGCGCGGCCAGCATACAGCAGCGTGGCATTCCCGAGCAGCGGGGTGCACGCGTCGGCGGGAGTCGCCTGGACGACTGCCATTGTCGGGGTTTCCGACCGCAGCGCCAGATTCGCAAAGGCCGGGTTGTACACAAAGCAGAACGTGTCCGTGTCCTCGCTGTGACTGGAGGTCGGTCTTGTCATGTCCAAGAGTGCCAGGTCGGCTGCAGCGAGCGCAGTGCACGCGACGAGCAGCACGGTGCTCAGGAGCCAGAGTCGGAGCATTTGGATGACTGGAAACAAGGAATCTCAGACAGCAAACAGCAAAAAAACAATGACAAACAGCAAGCAATAACAACAATGGAGGACTGAGTGGACTTGCATGGATCAGCCAGTATTGTTGTTACAGGATGATGCGGTTTTTGACAGCTCAAACATTTGGTCGACTCGATCTTTCCCAAAAAAAACAACAAAAAACTGGTGATCAGGTTATCCAATTGCTCCCTCGCGCTCGCGCCCAACCTACTCGCTCCATTCACGCCCAAATGGAACTGTGTGATGTATGTGCATTCTGGTTTGTGTTTTGCTTGCAGTGGGGCGATGAAACGATGGTTGGCTTGAATTTTGTTTTCTTTGCGTTTTTTATAAAAAACCGCAGCCCAAACCACTCATTGCATCCCTCCGCCCAAGGATGGGCCCGAGTCACCCCAGCCAAGGGTGGAAAACGTTGCAGGAGTGGATAGAGCCACACTGGTCTTAAAAGAGGTCGGGAAAAGAGCGCCAGAGACACGCTGGAGGGTGAAAACCCGACAAACAGAGTTTCTGAGATGAGTTGATAATGAGTCAGCATCTCAGGGCATTTGCAGGTTGAGCCAAGCCTTTTGTGGGCATTGATAGCGTGACAGTTGCTCAGCGGCATTGACACATCGGCAACGCACGTCTCGTCAATGTACGCAACGAATGGCATCCCAAGAACGGCCAACTTTACGAGCCAGCTGCAGGTGGTGAAATCAAGGAATGTATTGCTTTCTGAGAAGGAAATCGTTTATTGGTTGAAGAGGTTGGGTGGCAGACACACTCGTGGATTCATGCAAACAGACACACACACACACACACACACACACACACACACACACACACACACACACACACACACACACACACACACACACACACACACACACACACACACACACACACACACACACACACACACACACACACACACACACACACACACACACACACACACACACACACACACACACACACACACACACACACACACACACACACACACACACACACACACACACACACACACACACACACACACACACACACACACACACACACACACAC